AACACCAAAATAAACGAAGGAGACAACACATAAATACACCGAGAGGGCATAACTGTCGAATACCACGCTTCCGCCAATTACAGCGATCATCAACAAACATTTTTTTTGCGCATTTCTTTTGTTTACTTTGGAAGTACGTTGCTTTTTGTTTGAACACATTAGATTTCGCGTTAGATTTAACGTTTTTTCTTTTATATATTATTTTAATTATACGATTATTTTACAGAAAGATATATAACGATTGCATATACACACGTAAATGTATGCCCATCAGCTTGTAGAACGATTTTCCTATCACTTTCGTAAGGACGAAATGACAAACGTGATGTTTACATTTTTATGCGTGTACGTCATTCTCTCTTCGTTTCCTGGTGCGTTTTTGTCATTCTTGTCGGACAAACAGAACACAGCTGTGCGACAGCATTGATACCAAAACAACAATATGGACGTAAAAAAAAGCATCAGTGTCGTACAAGCCGAACACAGATGAGTGACAGCATTGAAATCGAAGGAAATCAGCTTTGACCAAAACTTTCCCTACATATATACATGCATACAAAGATTAAGATTCAGTCTTTATTTCAATATTTAAAAATTAAATTTAAATTATGTGCATGGTTTACATAGCAAACAAAAGAAATAACAATACAACAATAAACTCGGTACAAAAATCAGCAAATTATTAAAAGCGAAACCGCATATACGATGAAGACTTTAATAGTGACTCAGCTTTTAAGCTCTACGAACACCTTCATCATAATCTCGACTCGACTTGAAGTTCAAAGATGTCTAGGTAAAAAAAATTGAATATTCGAATCAGAATGTTATTAATATTTAAATGCAGTTGTACCTCTCAAAATTTTGATGAATATTTTTAAATCTGCTGTTGCTGCAAGATGAGAAGCGTCCATTCCAGTCAAACTGCTCTATTAGCTGATCTTTTCCTACGATATTGAGTGCGCTGAAATAAACTAATGTAAAAAGCAATGAAAAATGAAGTACTTAATTAATCCAAAATATGTTATTACCATAGCATGTACAGGGTCATGTATTTTTCACTTCTATCTACTGCGGTGAAAACGATAAAAAATGGCGCTCTACTCGAAAATAAGAACAAGAAAGGATAATCCGTTCAACTGCATTCTTCTTCTATATGTATGTATTTAGAAGAGAAAGATTTTCAAAAAAATGTGCATATGTGTTAGTGCTGCCCGAAATCGTGTGAGTGTATTGGTGAACCCATCAGCCCGTTCTTGCAGGGCAATTAAATATTACCTTATGAGGAGCTGGTGTATTTGCACAAAGGATTAAGAAAAAAAAAAACAATTCCGCCGTAGATACATATAATAGGCATATATATACAGTGGCTTAAAAATGAACTCGCACACACAAATTATATGACTTTAAAACAAAAAAATATATAATAATATGCAAATCGAGGACTTTCTGTTTAACATAAGTTTCAAGTGTATTTTTCAAAACAACCAAAACCATAAACTAAATTCAACTCGGTCGTATAAATATGAACATAACTACTTAACAAAACTAATGACAAAAAAGAGCCCGGGCATATACATTACATAGAATTTAAAAATATTATTTGAAGAGAAACAAAATATACTTAATATTTGGTCGGCAAGCCTTTACTTTTTCTGATAGCATTCAGTCTTCTTGGCAAAGATTCAACTAGCTTCTTGCATGTTAAAGAATTTATTTTCCCCCACTCTTCCAAAATAGCGGCCTCTAGATCTTTCTTATTTCTAATAACATGCATTTTCAGTTTATTTTCCAAATGAACCCACAGATGTTCAATTACGTTAATGTCGGGAGATTGAGGAGGTGCATCAAGCAATCAAGGACAGTTATACATCAACCATAAACGGACATCAAGTGCTTTATGCTTGGGATCGTTGTCTTGGTAGTACTGGAAATTGGCTTTAATTCCCAACTTTTCCGCACTTTGCACTAAATTTTCTTTTAAAATGGTCAGATATTGCTTGTGGTCCATATTACCATTTATGAAACACAAATTTCCAGTACCAGCTGCGGACATACAACCCCATACCATTACTGAGCCGCCCCGTGTTTAACAGTCGGACGTAAACTCTTTTTTAGCAACTCTTCATTCGGTTTTATCCAAACATACGACTGTCCATCTGACCTAAATATATTAAATTTGCTTTCATCGGCAAATAAAACTTGTTTCCAGAATTGGAAATCCTTATCCCCGTGACATTTTGCAAATTTTATTCTTTTGTTTCGGTTAACCTCGTTTATAAATGCTTTCTTTCGTGCAACTCTTCCATTATAATTATTTTTTTTTATCGTAAGACTATTCGGATACTCTCCATATTACAATTTATATCGAGATGTTGCAAAACTGCTGTTGAAAGCTTGGGAGCGCTCATGTTTTTTTTTTTTATTTGCTGCACTATCCACCGCTAATCTGCAGCCGAAAACAACTTCGGTCGTCCAGACTTTTTGTTTTTCACTGATTTTGTTTGTTTGAATCGTTTAATCACGTCATGCACAGTCGAGCGGGGTCTGCTCACAATTTTTGCGATTTTCCGAATGGTTTTTCTTATTTCAAAATTTTATTAGTCATTACTTCCTTACTTCAATTGAACTTTGTCCACGCTGTCTACCCATGTTTGAATTTTTCACCTTTTTTTTCAAAAAAACTACTGTAATTTTATTTTAAGCTCTAACGTTTGATTATATACATATGTGTTTCTAAATGAAAACAAACTAATTGTGGGATTCCCCTTTTTAAAATGCCAAGCAACTGTAATAAAACCAGATGTCCGACTTCTTTTTGGTGAAATTTCTAGCATGCTACATGTTAATTTTTTGAAGTAAGGGACAGCTCATATGTACCTGCATAATATAGTATAATAATCTTGAAATCTCACACAGATTCATTTCAGCATGCTCGTATCATCATCGCTGGAGGCCAAGGCGAATGCAGTGTAAATACATTCATACATATGTACATACCCTTGCCGATATGCTTATATAGTGAGCAACAAAGAATCAGAATATTAGAACCGGGAACGGCGGGAAATCTATGGTAACGGGTGTTTCTGTGGAATGGGACGGTATGACAAAAAGCATGGAATTTTTAATAGTTCCAGACTTGCAACTCGAAGTCTATTTAGGTGTCAATTTCTGGCAAGTTTTTGGTATTAAAGTTTTGAATAGCGGTGTGAATGTAAATTCTGGCAGCACTATCGTTGCGGATCTTGTACCCGCAGAAGATGACTTACTATTTGATCCAATGCAGCACAAGTTGAACCCTGATCAAAGGCACACCTTGGAAAGCGGACAAGCCGAATTCCCATCATAAGGAGAGACAGATACGGAAGAACATGTCATGTTGTTGTTGTTTTTGTAGCGGTTTGATCAGTCTAAGTCGCCGAGATCATCTAATGTTAGGTCCGGGAAACGAGCTGTTTCGGCGGGGTTGGACCAGAGGGAGAGGGAGGGTTAGATGAGTTGTTTTGAGAAGGCATGTGAAGAGGTGGTTAGTGTCGTGCGGAGACTCACCACATGCAGGGCATACGTTGGGTATGCTGGGGTCTAGTCTGGATAATTAGGAGTTAAACCTGCTTCAATATTCAGACCTAAGCTGTGTCAGGGTCACGCGGGTTTCTCGACGCAGCTCGAGCTCGTTGTCTGCTATATGTGGTGGTTTTTCTCCGAATACGCCTTTCACTGGAAAAGATTCCTTGAAGGTGTTGACTGACTGCTGGTGAATGGCGTTCAGTGCTTGTCTGTACGCCGTCATGTCCAAAGGTTGTATTACATATTGCTGGATTGTATCCTTTGAGGACGTTCAGCTTCTATTAGGGGCCTACTGCGGTGCTCCCTGCGGTAGCATCCCAATAGGAACTGCTTGCACAGCAAAGCATTATGCTCCTTAACTCGTAGAATAGATGCTTCGCTGTGCAAGTTATGTTCCGGCGACATCAGGAGGTTTCCTGTCGCGGTTCTGAGGGCAATGTTCCGGCAAGCCTGTAGCTTCTTCATCTGCGTCTCGTTCGCCCCCTTCGCCTAGATCGGTGCAGCATAGTTTACGACCGGCCGGCCAATTGCTTTGTAAGTTGACAGCAAAGTTTCTTTACCCAAGGTGCTGCCGGCTAGCGCTTTGAGTATTTTGTTGTGGCCCTGGAGTTTAACGGAAAATGCGGTCGTATGCGAAGTGAAGAAATACAGGCTGTCTAGTATCACTCCCAATATCTTTAGGTTGTTTACAGTCGGAATTTTTACGTCATACCCGTTCACATCTAGTTCAAGCCTGTATTCCTTCGTCCAAAAAAGTGAGAAAGGTCGGCCAGGTAGCAGTTCACTTTCGAATAGAAGTCATCAATATCTTAGCCAGACGCCATATTCATCCCATCGTCGGCATACGAAGTTAGTGAAATTAATTCTGGTAGAGGAGGGAGATTCGATATGTAAGGATTAAACAGTAGCGGGGAAAGGACACCACCCTGCGGAATCCCCTGTTTCATTTTTCTGGGCTTCGATGTTTCACCTCGAAATATTACCGATAAATGTTGGCCATCCAGGTAGCCCATGATCCACCTTCGCAACCCCGGCGGTAATAAGGATGCCTCAATGTCTGTTTGTAGCATCAGAATGGTGAAGCGGCCTAAAAATCGCTTCAGCGGTTACAAAGCGCCATTTATTTCTACATATATATTATTCTAGACATTTTTCATCTACAATATTATATGCCATCATTTATAATATCTTTATATTGTATTAAATTTGCTTTATAATTTGCATGTTTGGTATCCCTAATGAAAAAGTTTTAACGATTGTCGCTAAAATAGCCAACGCTCTTTTGCATGATTTTTAAACTTCGACAGATTATGATATGTATAGAGCCCAAAAATGTCCTGTTAATGTCAGAGATTCAAAAACTTTGATTTCAGAGTTGATAGAAGTCTCAAATGAAGTAACACTTCATTATATATATAATTCCTACGACTACGTAATCACCAAAGCGATATAATTTTTTCCTTGTAGACAGCGGCAATAGCCAGAGTATAGGAGATGAAACATCCAACAGCAACACTGGTGGATCTAATATTGTTACCATGGACTCTAATGCTAAGCGGGAGCGCGATGGTACTACGACATCCACATCAGCGATGCATCAGAATTCAAATAGTACCGTTAAATTGTGTCCTCACACTATAAATGCTTCATCTCCTAATAATGCTAGTGATCAATCGAATAGCAGCAATATTTCAATTAATTTGTCACAAACGATTGAGAGTGGAACAACAGACATCCTCCAAGACTTGAACATTTCCGAAAAAAGTGGAAATAAAAAGAAAACAAATCTGAACAGCCTGGCAACTGTAAAAGAAGAGGAAACCGGTAATTTATTTTTACATCATTTAGTAGATTTAGTAAACATGTCTTTGTTCTTTAGGTGTAAAGTCTACTGTAGACAACAATGGGAGTCTCTCGGGACCTTCCGCAAAGAATTTGATATGCAAAGCCACGTCATTAAATTCAATGCCTTCTATAAAAGAAGAAACTAGTGTTATGGTTAATTTAATTAATGTAAAGAAAGAGGATGGAAATATTTCCCCTGAAATGTCTCCGGCTGGCTTTTCTTCAATTAACAACTTATCGGGCAATAGTTCGATAGATGTTACCTCTGGCACTCCAGGTAAATTCTAAACACTCATACCGAATGGAATATTCAGATTATATAAACATTAATAATTTCATTATATTTTTAATGAAAATAGATGATGCAACCAAAACTAAGATGATTACAAATTGTAACATAAGCAACTCTAATAATAACAACGAGAAAGTAGGTTCCGGTATAAGTTCTATTAACAGCAATGTTCCCAGCAGTTGTACTGAAGATTCACTTACAGCATCAGGCTCTTCTTCCGTTATCGGCCATTCATCTAATGATTCGGGCGTTGGTAGCACACATAACTCAGCGGTGAACTTAATAAATAATGTCAATGACGTTGGTGGATCAATTGCAAATTGCATGGAATATATGCAACAACAAAATCATATATTTGTATTTTCAACTCAACTTGCAAATAAAGGTGCTGAATCGGTTCTGAGTGGGCAAGTTCCAACGATAATTGCTTACCACTGCACGCAACCAGCAACAATAAACTTTCTCGAAGATTTCTTTATAAAAAATCCTATGAAAATATCTAAACTGCATCGACAAAACACTCTTAATTTATATAACATATCAGTAGGTGCTGGTGGTCAACAATGGATTGGAAGCTGTAATACATTGCCAAAGATATCACAGAAGCCTATTGGTAGTAAATTGAATTTCAAAGGAATGCCTGGTGCTTTGGAAAGTAAAATACCCCACAAACAATCTAATATTCCTAATTTTCCCGAAGTATCGGGCGGCAACGAAAATGACTTAATGTGCTGGGAGCAAACTCGAAACAATTTGGAAGGAGCATCAAACGAAAGTCACCCTGGCTTAAAAACTAATGGTGCTGATGCGGGTGTCGGAGGAGGGTTACATATTTCTAACAAATCTCATGTAGCACTCGATACAAGCGATAGTTGTACGCCCTCATTACAGGGTATAAAAGTGCCCGATGAAAACTTAACACCACAACAACGTCAGCATCGGGAAGAACAATTAGCAAAGTTAAAGCAAATCGATCAGTTTTTGTCTAATCCTTTGCAAGGCATAAATCAGCTGGGTAAATTGAATACAAATGGTGTACCAAGTAATCTGGCGAGTCTAATGCTTAATTTACCTAATTCTGGTTCTTCCAGTATGGGATCACAAATGAACAATCCGCTAAATCCTAGTATGAGAAACCATACCAATGTTATGAATTCCAATAACCAAAATATATGCAATCCTGAAATGCCAACAACAATGTGCGATGGAAATATTGTTTCTCAGGATATGTTGATTGGACGTGAGATGAATAATTTGACGTGTAATCCCAATAAGTCAATGCAAATAAACAACCAATCGAATATGCCATGTGTATCGAATGGTGTTGTGGGCAATGTTGCTCCAATTGTGAGTGTTGGAAATATTACAAATAGCTCATTGTCGTGTCATAGTGGTGTAAATAATAATGGAGGAAATGGTAATATTAATGGGCATGGTGGACTTATGCCAAATTCTCCAGAAATTGTGGGGAATTTTGTTGGGGATGGAAATGTAAATAATAATGGTGTTAAAGTAATAAGCTCCGGTGGAACTCTCTCACAAGAAATCGGCCAATTAGGAATGGCCCAAATGGGATGGTCTAAATTGCAACATCAGTTTTTTGAAGAACGTGTAAAAGGTAACAAAGGCCAAGGACCAAATGATGTTTCATGTTTGCCAGCAGCACTTTGCCGTTCAAGTTCAGCGATCATGGGAAATGCAAATATGAGACCTAATATGACCGGGTCATGTGCATCGGCTTCAACGACCAATAGTCACTCCATTCGTTCAGCACAAGGCCCACCGCCTCCATATCACCCCACACAGCGTTCAGCATCGGTTCCTATTGCAACGGAGTCTCCTAGTCCAGCTAGTCCTAATAACCCAACTTCAAATTTGTCATTACCATCACCCCGTACATCAGGTGCATTGGGAATTCCAGCAAACTCACCAATTAATGACGTCCATGTGTCTGCAATGTCAACCCAAGCGGTAACAACAACATCGACTGTCAGTACAGCAATTTCAAATGGGAACTGCCACAGTAAAAATAACTTTCAATCTGAGGGATCACCTTCAAGCACTGGAACCAGCAATAGTATTACAATGGCTAATAATAATAATAATCGGAATCGCAATAATCAAATGAATCAATTTAATAGCAATCCAAGTACACCTCTGTCACATTTATCACCCAAAGACCTTGAGTCATTCCATACTACCGCAACATCAGGTAAAAGATATTAGAATTCGTTTTTTTTATCTAGTTGACTCGAGCTCAATTTTTAATAGGGGACTTGAAAAATGCGCGCCCCAGCCCCCAAAGATCTAGAACGCCTTTGATGGGACATAACAACGGCAATGTTGCAGATGCTACTAATATAGAGGGCCGTTTTCCTTCAGTTAGCCCTGGACTTACTTTTCCTCAGCCTTTGAATAACACGTCTAATAGTGGAGTTAATGCCTATAAAGGACCGGTTCCTATCGAAGTAAAGCAGAATAATACTAGCTGTAAGCGAAATTTGTGTACATATTGTATTTGTTTATCTTTCATTCCAGCGCCAGAATTCTGTCCCGGCATCCTCACAGTTCTGCCGCCGCGCTGACAATCTCCCATTGAATCCTAATAGCAATCGCCCACCTCAAAATAAACTAAATCATTCTTTTGATCCAATATCCTCATTAGCGCAAATGTCTCAGCAGCTGACTAGTTGCGTATCACTCAATACTGGAGCCGTTGGGAATACCGGAGGGGTTGGAAGCATGGCTGCCATAGGAGTGAATGATGTAAACGTTACGAGCAATGTGAATCAAAATATAGATAATATGATGGCTTCAATGGATACAGGATTAGACCACTGTAATACTGGCTCGTCTGGAATGGCGATGCCGCCCCATATGAGCGGAACTGGACCTTTTATGTCTAACAACTGTCATATTAACTCCATGTTGGGACCTATGGGTCAGCGATTACTCAATCCAAAATTATGTGCTGGATTTAGTCCTACCACCGGAAGTATGGGTCGGGACGGACCCGGAGGATTGCATGGAGTAATGTCATCGCATCGTATGATGGGTCGTATGGCTATGAATTTTAGCAATTTTAGTGTGCCCCCCAATGTACAAGTCAAGGCTAGTACACCAAATACGATACAATATATGCCAGTACGTTCACAAAGCAATAATAATAGTAATATCCGTGTACCACCGAGTCTTGAATTTTTGCGTTACACAAATTCCCAAGTGACCGGAGCGGCAAATATATTTGACAATAGTCACATGGGTCAAATCAATACCGGACCAGCATCTGATCTAGGAAAACTTAATAATTGCAACGGACCAGCAGGGGCAGGAAACTCTGGTATGAGCTTCTTTAGTAATTGCAATCATATGGGCTCAATGGTGGCCGATCAGGAAGATATGGCAGGAGGAAATCTTACTCCCAGTCATGAAATTACCTTAGGTTCTCATCCTTCAATGGTACGAGGCATGCGACCAATCAGACAACAGCAGCATTTGGGAAATCAAATGTTACCTGGTCCCCGCATGCAAAATCCCGGTGTAATACCTGGAAATTTCCCAAACGGACCTCAGGACCCGATGGAATGTGAAGACAATTCTATATATATCGGAAATAGCCATGGAAATGGCCATGGACCGGCACAGGGAGTAGCAGGACAGAACCAAATGTATTCGGGAGGCAACGGACAACAAAAACCCGTAAAGTCAATAAGTTCAAATAACCTTTGTCTGAATATGAATACTCCAAACGCAACCAATAACGGACCAATGACTGCCAACTCCAATTTACTTCCGAGTGAACACAATCCATCAATGCTGTCTCCAGCTAATGGACCTCTTATTATGGGTAATAATATCAATATGCTTTCAAATACAATACACGTGGGCAGTAGTATATCTCCTGCTGGATGTGGAAGTAATACCGGGAATGGTCCTGGTGATGTGGGTAATGTTGCTTATAAACCATTTGTCGGTCCTGTCTCAAATGATATTAAGTATGCGCAGCAGTACCATAGTTTTCAGCAACAATTGTATGCTACTTCAACGAGAAGCCAGCAAAACACAGGCAATACTAATATCGGAAGCAATGTGTCCACGAATCCGACATTTTTTGTAAATAAGTAAATCCTATTACTATTCTTTTAAAATCCTTCCTTCTCCGTTTGAATAAAAGATATTTCGATGTGTTTTTAACTATGAATCCTTTTTAAACGATTGCCTCTGTAGAAAGCAACTGATAGTGTAAAGGGCGTGAGTGTTTTTGGTTTCGTTTTAGTATATTTACATAATAAAATACGATTTGAAAGTGCCGTTACTGAACATGAACTAATTTTAATCTAAAGTTTTATCAATTTCTTTTATCAAAGCAGAAGAGGAATTAAGATTAAAATTTTATAAAACGCAAATTAAGGACTTGAGTTCCGAAACGTCAGTTGTAAAGCAACCATACATTGTTACCCATTCCTAAATGCAACTGTGCAAACTTGCAACGATGTAACATGTTCCAAAATGTATCGGCAAAGTAATTTATGTGCAATCAAAACCAACAGCGCATCACTAAGGTTTTTGATGGTGTGTTATTATGAATTCTGTACAAAATTGGCCGACGTCGGAGGGTAAGTTTTTTGCGCTATTTCTTTTTTGAAACATATTACTAATTTTTTTAAATTTTTTTATATTCAAGCCATTTCAACGAAAAGCATCTGATTTGCACGAAAAACGTTCCAAATGTCAGGGTTTGCTAGGTATTGTGGCAAGACAAATTTATGTAATGCAGGAATGTATTATAATGATGCGGTTGCGAAACACCATCATTACAAAGTATTTTGACGTTTTGGAACTCACCCATACACGCAAAAATATATAAATTGAATACGATATTAAAAATTCATTCTTCAGACTTTGACGGTGTTTACAGTTAATTCTTTTGACTATATAAACTTATGTATATATAAGGATAATATTAAAAGCAGTATATTTTCTGTTAATTTAATAACTTCTGTCTAGATGCTAGTTAAACATTAAATTTTAGAATGTATTTATTATAGTTATATGCATAACGCGACATATTATGTAAATCTTTAAATAAAGTTTAAAATGCAAAAAAAATATATGTTATAAACTTTTACTTTAAGTCCTATGCGAATATATTTGCAACAAACCATTCGTTCGCATTTAAATATATATGGATCAGCGACTGATAAATCCAAAAAGTGTGGGGGAACAACTCTACCATAGGAGGCATGAATATTAATAGATTTAAAATGTAAATATATATGTAACGACACAGATTTTCTTTTCTATTAAAAACTATGTTGTCGCTTACAAAAAAATTTTTTATCGAATCATCTACTTCAGGTAATAATAATTAAAGTTATATGTTTGTAAATAAATTCGAGCGAGCTTCCGCACTAGTCAGTGATCAAATCGACATGCTCTAATTATCGTATACATTTTCCAAACATGAAACTGGAAAATCTCAGCTCTTTACAGCTAGCTACCCTGCAAAGATCATTTGAGCCAACATATGTCAGGAATGCATGAGATCATATCCCGACCGCTCGTAGAACGATGATAAGAGTCATGTGTAGAAGTTCACTCCAGAAACGATTTTTTTAGAATATGGTTCACGCAGCTCACGTCTTCCGGTCTTTGACCAAGTATCCCCGGGTAGCAAGAAAACATCCATCTGGGGGCGAGCTAAAGTGCCAAAGCGAATCCCATGCGGTTTTGCGAAGGGTTTGGGACCCATCACAGAAACTAATCATCTCCCGCAAATGTTTTAAAGATTACGAAATTTGGGCATACACCGGGAATGTCCGGTATCTTAAATGGGCCTTAAGGCCCTACCAAGCGTTAACAAACTTATTGGAGCTCATAAGAGTAACTTTAGACCCCGTAAATCAGATTTTCATCATACGACTAATATTGGAAAAGACTAATCAAAAGGGGATCGATACAACCCACCTTTTTGTCGATTCCAAAGCAGCATTCGAAAGCACGAAAAGGAGCTTCGTCTTCGCCGCTTTGTCAGAAATTCGTATCCCCACCGAACTTATATGGCTATGTTAACTGCCCTTGAGCAACACTAGAAGCTCCCTCCGAATTTGGAAGGGCCTCTCCGAATCATTCGATACCAAACGTGGTTTCAGACAAGGTGATTCCCTGCAGAATTGCAGAGTTGAATAGGAAAGGAACAATCTTCTCTTGACAGTCATAACATCAAGCAGTCTTCTTTGAAAGTCCTAAGTGTGGTTTATCTAACCAGATCAACAATTCAGGGCCAGCTCCATCGTATCTCTTCATCGGCAAGTGACGATACTTACTTGAAGTTTGGCTTTAGTCCTGACGTTCCGCAATAAAAAAATTTCTATCGAAACGACCGATTCCAATTATATATACCTTGAACCTGCTAGACTGTTTCGTAAAAGTAGTGTCGCCAAACCATTGCGGCGTCAACGTCTCCTTCTGTCCTTTAAAACCCAGTCTATCAGCTAACTCGCTGTTCTTCATTGATATTGCTAAAACATAGTCGAAGAGAGCAAATCTATTTATGACTTGACCATTGCCAATATTTTATACAGCAACTTCGTACTAGGGTTTGAGATTATAGCACTGGTGAGAACTTGCCGCCTTCTTACAGATTCCGTAGAATTCTTACCATTCATCGTTTCTTGTCGCCTAGGATGTAACAGTTCGTGTTGTTTCTTTACGCAGCCGTTTATGTTTCAATTGTGACGCTCGGAGTAGTTGTTATTAGTTCGACCTCTTTCAGGCAGTAAAAACATAATTTTTTTTGGCGTACCAAACGCCATCGTTGACCTATTCTTCTGTCTGCCGAAGTCCTACGTAAGTCACTAAATACTCCTGCCAACGACCCATTCACGCCGACGTAGTTAGGAGATCTAGAGGTTGCTGCTAACAACCGCTTGCAGCTCCTTCATCTGCTGGATCATCAGGTTAAGTTTTGCCTCCAATGAGAGCTGCTCCATCACCTCTACTGCTTGATGTTGAATGGTTGTGCACAAGCCATCGTAGAACGTGTGTTCGGTATCATTAGCTAAACCTTCGAAACTCAAGTGAAATATGTGTAGATGTAATAAATCGTTACTACCTTCGCCGCCCAGTGAACGTGTAGATCAGAATTGTATACACTATAAAAAAAGTCGTAAAGGTATTTGATTTTCAATGAAAACGCATTTAAGTTCGCTCACAACTAGGTATTTACCATTGACAAAGAAAAATTCAAAAAAAAAACCAATCCACACTTCTCAAGGTACACTCCCCAATAGTTGCCTTTGCTTTGGCCTTTTTTGGTGCTGACGACGCTCCACTCAAGTAGGCTCCGCTTCGCTTTACGTTAAAAAGGCCCGGATCACTCCCCGAACTTTACGCCTATATCGATTGCAGTATAAATAAGTCGCGCTTCGCTACGCAAACGATGCTGCTTTATGCTGAAAAGGCCCCGCTTCACTAAAAATTTGCAGCTGATTGCGCATTATGCGATCTGGCCAACTCCATGGAAGGACCAAAAAGTAAATTTCCAAATAAAATGCAGTCTCCTCTCGCTGCTCATTTTCCCGAAAAAGTAAACAAAGACTTCACTAAATGTGAAATGATGGATTCACTCAAAGTGACGTCTGAAAATAAGACTAACGATGCTGTGTATGAGAATATTGTTAGGATGTTTTATTTCCTAAACTCAAATTACAATTATAACATTAATATAAAATTCAAAATGTACATATGTAATGAAATATAATAAACTATACTTATTACACTTTTGTGTGCGCTCGGCTGGAATATCGGCCGTAGCATTGCCATACTTAATCAATTTTTACCCACCACAAATTTCACATCTTGGCGTTATCATATCTAACTTAGATCTAAACCTAACACTATCAGGCCTATTCTCACTGCTACCGGTAAAGTAAAATTTGTTACTATTTTAACACCCGAAATTGAATTTGTTATTCTGGAAAACTGGTAACAATGTTTGAAAAAAGTTTGGCAGCACTGCATTTTTTGTCCTTGTCAAATTACATATGCAAGTTGGTAAAGTAAAAAAGAAGAATATTCACATCGAAATAAGTTTTATTCATTTCTTTCTTAAGCCATACATATTTAAAAAGAGCTGAATGAAAACGCTATCTTCCAAATTGAGAGGGTTCCTTTTTCTCCCAACTTCTCATCTTCAATGCACTCCAGGCCTAAAATATGCCTAACCATTTTGGTTTTTATTTTTTTTTAAACTAATAACTCAAAATCAAACAGCAGAATTTTATAACCTCCTATTTCGCTGGTAACAAAATTAACAGGGTGACAGTGAACTCAGAATACAAAATAGTAAAAAAATACTGAATGGTAATTTTTAATACCAAAGTAATTATTTGTTACCTCGACAGCATAGTTACCGGTAAAGTAAATTTTGTTCCTTTTTTAACATCCAAAATTGAATTTGGTATTCTGGCGAACTAGTTACAATGTTTGAAAGAAGTTTGGCAGTACTGTTTTTTTCTTCCATGTCAAATTACATTTGCCAGTTATTAAAGTAAAAAGAAGAATATTCCTATATATATTTACATTTCATTTGTTTTTAGAAAAAAATTTTTGGGGAAACAGAATGTTGGGCGTATTGCAGTTTGACAGTTGCTCCTAACCTTATCCTGATACGACCCGTAGGAAAAGAAATATGTTGTTGAGAGAAACCTCAAATGAAAAAGCAATGATAAATGGTAATTTTTTTTTGCAAATTTTTTAACGTGCCACCTCTCGCACTTATTTTCTTCATCTTCAGTTCGTTCCAGACGTTAAGGCCTATGGTTTGTTACGGTGACAACACTGAATGAATGACAAACTGAAATGGTGAAAACATTAATATAATATTCAAAATGTACATATGTAATGAAATATAATAAACTATAACTACTTACACTTTTGTGTGCGCTCTGCCCGACTTTCCAGCAACGAATGTCTGTTTTTTGCTCATCATCACGGCTGGATTATCGGCCGTAGCATTGTTATGCTTGATCAATTTTCAGCCATCACCAACTTCACATCTTAGCGTTATCATATCTAACTTAGATCTAAACTTAACATTATCAGGCCTATTCTCACTGTTACCGGTAAAGTAAAATTTGTTACTATTTTAACACTCGAAATTGAATTTGTTATTCTGGAAAACTGGTTACAATGTTTGAAAAAAGTTTGGCAGTACTGCATTTTTCGTCCTTGTCAAATTACATATGGCTGTTGGTAAAGTAAAAAAGAAGAATATTCACATCGAAATAAGTTTTATTTATTTCTTTATTAAGTCATACATATTAAAAAAGAGCTGAATGAAAACGCTATCTTCCAAATTGAGAGGGTTCGTTTTTTCTCCCAACTTCTCATCTTCAATGCATTCCAGGCCTAAAATATGCCTAACCATTTTGGTTTTTGTTTTTTTCTAAACTAATAACACAAAATCAAACAGCAGATTTTTTGTTACCTCCTATTTCGCTGGCAACAAAATTTACAGGGTGACAGTGAACTCAGAATACAAAATAGTAAAAAAAAATTTACCAAAGTAAATATTTGTTACCTCGACAGCATAGGTAACAGTCTGTAACAGGCCTATTCTCACTGTTTGTAAAGTAAATTCTGTTACTTTTTTTACATCCAAAATTGAATTTGGTATTCTGGCGAACTGGTTACAATGTTTGAAAAAAGTTTGGCAGTACTGCTTTTTTCTTCCATGTCAAATTACATTTGCCAGTTATTAAAGCAAAAAGAAGAATATTCGTATATATATTTGCATTTCATTTGTTTTTAGAGAGAAACTTTTCGCGAAATTTCTTAACATGCCACCTCTCGCACTTTTTTCTTCATTGTCAGTTCGTTCTAGACGTTAAATATGTTAAATATATTACTTTATTTTTTCACAAATTAACAACGCCATATCGAACGGCTGATGGTTTGTTACCTCCTATTTTGCTAGTAACAAAGCTTTCAGGGTGACAGTGAACTCAGAATACGAAATAGTAACAAAATTTACTGATTGATAAACATATAATTGTGAATGTAAAATAATAGAGAAAGAGCTTGCAATCAAATAACATTTCGAATATAAAACAAGATAACGGCTTTCCTATTTTTCAAGTTGATTAAAATCGGTTAAGTAGCTTAGGAGTCCTTTGTGGACATATAATGCACAAAGCCAAGCAAGCCTCTTTTCAACATAGTCATCATATCTCTTTTGCAAGTTTCCCTCTGATCCCTTCATCACTTCTCTACCTCCAAATTTTCTGTGCTTCTTTCAGTTTTCAGAGATTCAAAAATTTTCCATAAATCATTGCATTCAAAGTCAAAATAAGCGCAAACGAAGCGCATTTCAGACATTTCATATGACATTGATTGCTTTTTTTATGTGGTAACCGCAAAAGTAGTCCCCAAATATGTTTTCGGGGGAAACCTGCTGGATAGTTCCGTTAAAGTAGTGGCGCCAAGCCATTGAACTTGCCGCAGTAAAAACATAACTTTTTTAGGCGTACCAAACGCCATCGTTGACCTACTCTTCTGTCTGTCGAAGTCCTACTTAAGTCACTAAATATTCCTTGCCCACGATCCATTCACGCTTTCCACACCGACGTAGTTAGGAGATCTAGAGTTTGCTGCTAACAACCGCATGCAGCTCCTTCATCTGCTGGATCATCAGGTTAAGTTTTGCCTCTAATTAGAGTTGCTCTACCACCTCTACTGCTTGATGTTGAATGGTTGTGCACAAGTCATCGTAGAACGTGTGTTCGATATGATTAGCTTAACCTTCTATTCAAGAAAGAGCTTGAATAAATTCTAATTATTGTAAGCTGTAAATAACACCACCGCGGTTTCGTTTGAAAACTTTAACACTTCGTTTATTGATTATTTTTGTAAAATTTTGTACACACAATTTATTTATGCAGACGAATATATGTATGCACTGTTGAGAGTATAGCAAGCGATTTTAATATAAAAATACTGTAAGCTTATTATTTATAACAAAGTACTTAGCTTAGTTTTACTTTAACGAAAAAGGAGGGGAAATTTCGTTTTTCGTTTTTCCTTCAATTTTCTTTGCTTAACAGGAATTGGAAATTAAGGTACGTATTCCAGTGGATAAAGGGTGAGTAATTCAGATTAGGGTAAACAATTCAAGGTGAGTATAAAATATCTTTTATATATAAATATATATATATATTTATTTAATTTCAATTTTTCGTTTAGAACTCTATGAGATCGACACTCAAGTCTTCGAGCTGTTGCGAAAAACGGGCTTTATTTACCTACCGACGGATTCGTTGCTGGAGGGTAGGTGATTTGCTGTTTCGTCGAGTTCTCTCGTTGGATGAGCTTCGCAGTACCTTGCGCTTCGGTTCCGGTTCAGTGGTGCGCTTTTGATGGTTCTTCCGTGGTTCTTTGGGCACCTGGAACCTGACTTGCCTTCGGCTGTGATGCGGTGCGCGCTCGGCGAGCCGCGCGAGGGTCGGTGAAGCAGCGTGTGATGTGCTAGTCCGCATTGACGACAACTGTCTGGGGTGTCGCATGCTCCGGTGGTGTGTGAAGTCGCTAGACAATTAATGCAATAGCGATGTGCCTTTGCAGACTCGTACCTCTCGTCGGGCGTCATCGCCAGGAAAGCACGACAGTATCGTACGGAATGCGGGCGGCAGCATAAGCGGCACTTGCGGAAGACGAGTATTCTGTAATGATTGTAGAGGGTCGAAAAACGTTATAAGTTTGAGATGCTTGTGTAGAAGGTCTCGTATAAATTTGCTACGCTGGTGGTAGAACGCAGAGTTTAGTGATGTTGGGAGTGACTATACCGCTTTGAGTGCGAATGTCGACTACGCGGACATTTTGATCGGGGGCGAGATGGAGGTTTACAATTCGACCTAACTTCCACTCGTTCGGTGGTAGAAGGTCATCTTTAATGATGACGAGATCTCCTTCACGGAGATTGGATTCCTGTCCTTTCCATTTATATCGTTTGTGTAATTCTTGCAAATATTCTGTCTTCCATCGTTTGCTGATTTGTTTATGAGTGACAGGTTTTCCGAGCTTGGTTCTGGGATTGAGTGTATGAAGGCTCCGCGGAGGAAATGACCTGATGTTAGAGGGTTCAGATCATCTGGTTCTTGCGACATTGCGGAGATCAGTCTGGAGTTTAAGACCGCTTCAATGCGCACGAGAAGAGCAGTGAATTCCACGATTGTGAACTTATGATTGTTCGCGATTTTCGTGAAGTGGATTTTGAAACTCTTCACTGCTGCTTCCCAGAGTCCTCCCATATGGGGTGCATATGGTGGAATAAATTGCCAGGTGAGGCCATGGACGGTATATTTCCTGCTGATGTCCTCAAACATCTCTCCGAGAAATGCGATGAGATCCTTATTGAGACTACGCTTTGCTCCAATAAATGTTCGTCCATTGTCTGACATCATTTTGCATGGTATACCGCGTCTGCCGACGAAACGAGCAAATGCGGAAAGGGTCCAGCGAAGTCAACGCCTGTAGCTTGAAATGGAAGTGAGTAGGTTATGCGCTCGGGGGGTAGTGCTGCCATCATTTGTGACTTCGTCTTTTGTTTATATAGGGTGCAAGGTTTACAATGAAAAATGCAGGTTTTTATTTTCTGCTTCAAACGTGGGACATAGTATTCTTGTTGGATCATGCAAATCATCAATTGCTTTTCGGCATGAAGTAACGTCGAGTGTAGGAAGGCGAGAATTAGAGTACAGAATCTTGAGTCGCTCGGGATGATGATCGGATGGCGCTCATTACAGCTAAGGGCAGCGTAACTGAGACGTCCTTTCACGCGTAACACCCCTGCTTTGTCTAAGAATCGGTTGAGCGTTAAGAGCGGGTCCTTCTTATTGATTGGCTTGGATGCTGAGAATGAGTAACGTTTTTGCTTGGTTCATTTCATCTTGGGTCATACAGCGTGAGGAAGAGGCAGGCAACCCTTTTGCCTTGTTTACGAATCGCAGCATGTAACCTACTACTCTGAGTGCCCTTGGATAGGATGAGAAGCATCTGCTTGTCGCTGTTCTGGTGGAGAAGAGTGCGTGGAGGCAGTTTTTGGCCAGAATTCTGATGGTTTGGTTAACCGTTCTGGACCGGACCACCATAGAGGGGAGTTGACAAGCTCCTGGGGTTTGATAACATGCGTACCTAAATCAGCTGGATTGTGGGAGGTGGGGACGTGTCGCCAAATAGCGTTATTCACGTTTTTAAAATCTCAGAGATTCTATTGGACACATATGCTTCCCATGTCCATGGAGGTTTTTCCAACTAAGCTAGTACGATGGAGGAATCACTCCATAAAGTTAGCTCGTGAGGTGGCAAATCGAGTTGAGTTTGGATCTGCTTTACTAACTTTGTGAGAAGTACTGCCCCACAGAGTTCCAGTCCCGGGAGTGAAACCGTTTTAAGGGGAGCAACTTTGCTTTTAGCAGCGAGTAAGTGGGATGTCGTCGATCCGTTGTGCTGAGCGCGTAGATACACGCACGCGCAGTACGCCTTTTCGGAGGCGTCAGAAAATCCATGTATTTGGATAACACCTTCCGGGAGGAATTCTACCCAACGTGGAATCCTTATTTCGATACGAGTTCCATTTGAGAAGCGAGAGTGGCTTGACTGTTTCGTCCCAGTCTGTTCCTTCCATCCAGAGCTGTTGAAGTAGGGTTTTGGCAGTTATCATTATAGGCGGTATCCATCCTGCCGGGTCAAAAAGCTTCGCGACTGCTGACCATATTTGCCTTTTTGTGGCAGCGTTTGTGTCAGGAAGGGGGTCAATGGAATATGAGAATGTATCTGTCAATGCATTCCACCTAATTCCGAGAGTTTTTGTGGTGCTCATATCATGAAATTGCAGAGATTCTGAGTCTAGAAGATGGGTTTCGGGTATTTCGTTCAACAGTGATCTGTTATTTGCTGTGGTTTTTCTGAGCGGGAATCCGGCGGATTTGAGAACTTCGATTGTTTGAGATACTGATGTTTTTTTTGAGTTCAGATCGTGTCCGCTGGATAGTATATCGTCAACATAAGTTTCGTTAACTAAAATTTTTGCGACTTGTGGGAATTTTAGTTTGGAGTCTTCAGCCAGCTGATGGAGTGTTCTTATGGCTAGGTATGGTGCACAGCTCACACCGAACGTTATTGTTTTTAGTTTGTAGTCTTCTACTGGACTACTTGGGGATTTGCGAAAGAGAATCCGTTGGAAGTCTTGATCTTCCTTGTGGACACATTTTTTCAATATTGCCGTTAAAAACATACTTATATAACCGCCACCTGATTATTACGAGCATAAGATCGTTTTGCAGTATGGGTCCTGTATGCAGTACGTCGTTTAGGGAGAGACCTGAGTGAGAGAGTTTAGACGCATTGAATACCACTCGGACTTTAGTGGTTTTACTATCGGGTTTTATTACTGCGTGATGTGGCAGAGAGAATGAGAAGTATTTGCCGTCCCGTATAATTTCTTGGGTATTCGTTCGCTCCATATGGTCAAGTGTTTGGTACTCTTCTAGGACCTCTGCATAGATTTTTTGGAGATCCAGTTTTTTCTCAAGGTTTCGTTCGATGCTGATGTATTGCTGCTGAGCTGAGAGTCTTGAGTGTCCTAATGCCATCGTGTTGGGAAATTCCGGTTTGAAGGGGAGTTTTACCACATATCGACCGTCATTTCTCCGGTACGTGGTATTTCGATAGAGGTCCTCGCAGATGGTGTCTTCATCCGTCTGTGTCTGGGCTCCTGACACTTCTTCTTGTTCCCAGAATTTCTTCAGCAGATCACCTAAGGGGTCGACCATGGTCTCGATTACTTGCGTACTGAGTGATGTAATCGATTGTGCTACAGGTCCGCTTAAAATCCATCCAAAGATGGTATTCTGGGCTATGAGGCTTCCACCGATGTCGTTTTTAAGGCCTGGGACTAGTATTTTCGGTAGGATATCACTACCGACTACCATGTCGATTCTTGCTGGAGCGAAGCAGCTAGGGTCCGCTAAAGGTAGAGAGGCATATCGTTTTATATCAAGATATGTGATCCTGAATGACGGCAAGAATTGGGTTAGCTGTGGGAGTATAATCGCTTGAGTTGCGATTTTGCATTTTGCTATCGTTAATGAACCAATTTTATTTGAATTTTGTACCGTGTGTTCGCCCATTCCTAGAATCTCGTAATGAGTTTTTGTTGTGGGAAGTCCTAGTAATTTTTGCACACGAGAGGTTATGAAGGTTTTTTGAGACGCTTGGTCTATGAGTGCTCTTATCTGAGTTATTTCTCCTTTATGGAGAATCGGGATGATTGCTGTGGCATGCAATGTTCTTTCTCTACTGCTGGAGAAGTGTGAAAGAATTGTATCATCCTCTTTTGGAGTAGAGTTTGACGCTTTTGCTGCCTGTTGAGAGGTACAGGGCCGTTCTTCGTCAATTGCCACTTGGGATGTGACAGTTTTTCTTGAAAAACTTTGATTGTTAGCTGTTTGGCTATTATTAGAGTAATGGAGGAGTGAGTGATGTCTTCTTTGGCAGTAAATGCATGTAAAATTGCTCTTGCAATCTCTCTCGGTGTGAGAGCACGCCAAACAATTTCTACAATAATTGTAATCTTTTATGAACTTGTTCCGATCGGGGACGGAAAGTTCTCTAAATTTGACGCACATCATCATAGAATGGTTTGAATTACAGAGTTTGCGCGATACTGGTCTTCTTGACTCAGTATGTAGTGTGTGCATTTTATTCCTATTCAAGAAGAAGTTATGTGTCGGCCTGTGAGTTGGCCTAGGGATGGAGTCTGGAATTTGAGGTTTCGGAGTTTTTGGAATGAGTTTTTCCAAAACCTTAAAACGAGTTGTCAAGAAGTTGCTCATTTCAGACCAGAGGGGTAGGTCTCTTCTATGGCAAACTTTTTGGTCCCATAGAGACAGGGATTCTTGAGGTAATCGAGAAGTGCATATACGCACCAAGAGTGGGCTCCAGTCGAGTGTGGAAATTTGGTGAGATTTGAGGATGGAGAGACTGTTTGTTATCGTAAGACGGAGCTTTTGAATTAGCTTCGCGCTCTCCACTGGGATTTTTTTGAGATCTAATAGGGTATCTTTTTGGTTATCTATTAGTAACCGGAGGTTTTCATATCGGGATGAGAGTGCTTGCCACGCAAGCTGGAAACTCAAGTCGCTTACCGAATACTGTTGAATGACCCGTGCTGCTTCTCCCGTGTCTTCGTCTTCAGGTAAAACAATTTTGCGCATTCGATAGCATGGGGTATTCTATATATACTGCTGTGAAAAGGTCTCGGAAGGCGGGCCATTCTTCATAACCTCCATAAAATGGACTTGTGTCACATGCAGGTACTTTGAGGTAGTGTTGTGAATTGGGATGGGGTTGAGATTGCGCTGTGGGTTGCGCTTGGCTTGTTAATGTGGGGGGTTCCGGTTTATTAAATCCTTCAAGTGCTTCACTTATCCGGATTTTCGTCAGCAATGCGTACTCCTCTGCCCACATAGCCCGAGTTTTCTCATCAACTGTATTGCTTAGCTGCATTATGTTGTGAGTTGTGTCCAAGGTGGACACTCTGTTAGCTTATCCAGATGATCCTTGTAATGCCTCACTGCTACCGCCGTTTGAGGAGTACTACAGTCGCTTCACCACTTCTCGCACAATTTTTCTATTGTTGAGAGTTCATGAAGGAATCTTCTGCTTGAGATTTAGACCGTGTGCGTGGTCTTGTTATGGGTTTATCGTCCTGCATCTTAGTCCAAGGTGGAGTCGTGGAAGCCGGAAATGTGTTAAAAAAATTTTTTTTAATAATATTATTTTATTTATAATATTGTTTAATTTTTGATGTTATTTTATTTGTAATATTATTTTCTTATAATATTATTAAATTTAAAATTATTTATTTATTTTTATTATTATTATTATTATTATTATTGTTATTATAATTTTTTTTTTAATATTTGCTCTGTCCCAATTTATGTGGAGCGCACTTTAGTTTGGGTGGCGTAATAATAATGTGGGACTGCAATGTCTCAGCGCTTCTGAGTACAGTATGTATATATATCTATATATTTCTGGTGTATATATGCCGTATAATGCATGTATACTGACCGCTAGCTATTGCGAATAGCGAAGGTGTGGAAATAGCCGCAATGCAAAAAGGGGAATCGCATACGCAATATGAAAATTGATTGTATGTATATATGCTGCTCGGCTGTTGTGTAGCGGACACCTCGCTATTAGAGTAGTGGTATGAGCAACTGTGGGTTGGTAATGCCAACACACTGGTCCAGTTGTGGACCTGTTGAAAGGAGTTTCGGTCCAGTTGGCATATATGTACAATGAGATGTATGTACGTGGGTATATTAATAAAATGAGACGGATAAAGGAGTATTTACTTTGGAATATCCTTGTATTTGTACAAACCCTTAATTATTGTTGTATGAGCGGTGTGGATTCTGGCTTTTTGCGGGTTTTTGTTGTTGATCGGCCTTCTTGCAGTTTCTTCCTTTTTTTCAGCGAGAGTTTTTCACTATTTAAATGACCGTTTTTTCACTTTTTTGACCGATCGCTTTTGTATACATATGTATATTTCACGTTTTAGCAAACGGTAGTTTTTTTCCACTTTGCTTACTTTTTTATTTTTTTTTTCAGCGACCGCTTCTTCACTTTTTTAAGTGACAGTTTTTTCAGCGACCGTTCTTTATATTATATATATATATATATACTTTTTTTCACTTTTTTCGGTGACCGATATATTAATATATAATTAAATTTTTATTATATATATATTTTTCAGCGGCCGATGGTTCAATTTTTGTGAGTATTTTTAATTTTCTATTGTTTTTTTTTTTCATTTTTCAGTAACCGGCAAGCATTTATATATATATGTACATATGAATATATTTTTTACACTTGCAGTAAGCTGTAAGCACTTATATATATGAACATATGTATATATTTTTAATTTTTTAAATTCTTCACTTTTTCAGTACACGGTAAGCGTTTACATATGTACGTATTTTTTTTTAAATTCTCTCTTCAGTAAGCGGTAAGCATTTATATATATTCAGTGAACCACTTTTTGTTTTATTTTATTTTATTTATTTATTTTTTTTTGTACGTTTAAATTTTTATTGCTTCTTCGTTGTTCGCAAATGGTTCTTTCACCTATGTTTAGGTTAATTTTTCTTTTAATTCACTCCGTCAAAGGGTTTCGGCACCATATTCAAGAAAGAGCTTGAATAAATTCTAATTATTTTAAGCTGTAAATAACACCACCGCGGTTTCGTTTTAAAACTTTAACACTTCGTTTATTGGATTTTTTTTTGTAAAATTTTATACACACAATTTATTTATGCAAACGAATATATGTATGCACTGTTGAGAGTATAGCAAGCGATTTTAATATGAAAATACTGTAAGCTTATTATTTATAACAAAGAACTTAGCTTAGTTTTACTTTAACGAAAAAGGAGGGGAAATTTCGTTTTTCCTTTTTCCTTCAATTTTCTTTGCTTTACAGGAATTGGAAATTAAGGTACGTATTCCAGTGGATAAGGGTGAGTATTTCAGATTAGGGTAAACAATTCAAGGTGAGTGTAAAATTTCTTACATATATATATTTTTTTAATTTAATTTCAATTTTTCTTTAAGAACTCTATGAGATCGACACTCATGTCTTCAACACCTTCGAAATTCAAATGAAATATGTGTAGATGTAATAAATCGCTACTACCTTCGCCACCCAGTGAACGTGTAGATCAGAATGGTATACACTATAAAAAAAAGCTGTAAAGGTATATAATTTTCAATGAAAACGCATTTAAGTTCGCTCACAATAAGCTTGTCACAAAATTCATTTTGGTTTTTGTTGCATTGCAAACCTATATTTATTAAAATATATTCAATTGAATAATAAGTTTTAAAACTTAGATTGGAATTCTCAAACCCACAATGCTGGCCATAAGTTACTGGAGAACGAAAAAACGCTGAAATTGTTGTTAACGAAGCTCCTACTTTCTTTAAAATGCAAACGAAGTCCCGTTATTACCCCGGCCGTTAACTAGGCATTTATCATTGACAAAGAAAAATTCAAAAAAAAAACCAATCCACACTTCTCAAGGTACACTCCCCAATAGTTGCCTTTGCTTTGGCCTTTTTTGGTGCTGACGACGCTCCACTCAAGTAGGCTCCGCTTCGCTTTACGTTAAAAAGGCCCGGATCACTCCCCGAACTTTACGCCTATATCGATTGCAGTATAAATAAGTCGCGCTTCGCTACGCAAACGATGCTGCTTTATGCTGAAAAGGCCCCGCTTCACTAAAAATTTGCAGCTGATTGCGCATTATGCGATCTGGCCAACTCCATGGAAGGACCAAAAAGTAAATTTCCAAATAAAATGCAGTCTCCTCTCGCTGCTCATTTTCCCGAAAAAGTAAACAAAGACTTCACTAAATGTGAAATGATGGATTCACTCAAAGTGACGTCTGAAAATAAGACTAACGATGCTGTGTATGAGAATATTGTTAGGATGTTTTATTTCCTAAACTCAAATTACAATTATAACATTAATATAAAATTCAAAATGTACATATGTAATGAAATATAATAAACTATACTTATTACACTTTTGTGTGCGCTCGGCTGGAATATCGGCCGTAGCATTGCCATACTTAATCAATTTTTACCCACCACAAATTTCACATCTTGGCGTTATCATATCTAACTTAGATCTAAACCTAACACTATCAGGCCTATTCTCACTGCTACCGGTAAAGTAAAATTTGTTACTATTTTAACACCCGAAATTGAATTTGTTATTCTGGAAAACTGGTAACAATGTTTGAAAAAAGTTTGGCAGCACTGCATTTTTTGTCCTTGTCAAATTACATATGCAAGTTGGTAAAGTAAAAAAGAAGAATATTCACATCGAAATAAGTTTTATTCATTTCTTTCTTAAGCCATA